GAAAGATTTCTTCATTAATAGCTGTGAAGCCTTGGTTGAGATTGTTCAAATACCAAATGAGTTCTGTCTGGTAGTCTCTCTTATGAAGGATTATTTATTGTATGCTGTGTATGTGCTTATTATCCCAAATAATGTATCTCAGTGAGCACTCAAACCACCTTTCAGGCAGCAACATCCTTTGCTGTTTTACTGTAAGTGTAATCTTTGTTTTAAGTTTATTCTGTAGAAGATGAAAACCAAATACCAGATGCAGATGGAATGTGGTTTTTACCCTTGAATTTAAGTCAAAATATATTTAATCCTAAAGAAAAAGTTCTCTGTTTTGTTTAAATGTATGCAAATGAGTAGTCTTATTTATCTTTAGAATACTGTAGTCACAGGGAGTTTGCATATTCATAATGTTAAGTTTATTTAAAAAAAAAATTTGCAGGACCAGAGATTTCATTTTAATTTAGTGGAGTTTTTTTTGAAGAATACAATGTCTATGCGTTGTGATTATCTCTCTTTCCAAAAAAAGTTTTTAAAAATGTGATTAATATTCATACGTAGTATGGTACTGTTATTATTTATACAGAGGATTATTTTTACTATGCTTTCCTGAAAACTGTATTACCTTGTGTTGTTATTTCATGAATTCAGAAAAACTGTTGCAATGGAATAGGTGCTAAACCACCGCACAGTGTCTACCTACCAAAAAAATAATGTAAAATGGGGGTGAGGGGCAGGGAGTCTTGGTGCAAGTCACATTGTTCAGCTTTATTCACAGATATTAAAGGAGTACAAGAAGCTAATTCAAAAGTAAGGTGAATTTTAGATATCTTTTCATTAGTTGAATACTTACCCTTGCCTTTGAACTGAAGGTGACCTTGTAGTTTTATGCAATGTATTAATTTAGGTCATTGCCTTTAGATTTGCCATAAAAAACTAAAGTCTGACTTTTTATTTCATTTCTGTGACAGTGGGTATTCTACCTAAATGTAATTTAATATAAGGACTATAAAATGAGGAATGGTGTGATTTTAGGACATTATGCCTCCATGTTCTCCAGTCTGGAAGTTTCTTTTTGCATATTGTTC